CGAACTCGAGGCTACAAAGCTGCTATCCACAAACCAATGGGTGATGTCAGGACGACTACGTCCACTTCTTATGTACAGTCTATGGCTGGGGATCAGCCATCACCACGTTGAGAGCCGTGGGGAGGCAATAGATATGCTCTGAATTGCATATGGAGAAAATAATAGTCCAGCCAAGATCAAAGATACAACACATTTAATATGATATTGTTGTGCTTTCTTTCAGCAATCCTCCCAAAGTCCAGAATCTCCATGAATCCTGTCGGTGACGTTACCTGGGGTCAGAATGTCGTCTTTACTTGTTCCATCTCAACTCCCACTCAACAGCTTTCAAGTGCAACATTTATTTTGAAAAAGGCTTCAAGTTCATTCGAAAAGACCCAAATGTCAAGAACCAACTCTGCTACCTTCCGCATGACTGAAGTCAACTTTAACAATGAAGGATCGTACCAGTGTCAGTACAACACCAYGGTTTCAAGACTAAACGTCATCTCCCCCTTAAGTGACTCTGTCAGACTCTCTGTTACTGGTAAGGAAATTAATCCATTCCCTAAACTTGATCTTAGTTTTGACATGACATGAAATATAGCCAACCAAAAAAAATGTAGAAAGGTATACCTTAGCTTAAAGTCAATCGATTTATCACTCTAAGATTGTGGGTTTTTTTCAGTGAGCCTCCCAAAGCCCAGCATCTCCATCAGTCCTGTTGGTGAGGTTACCTGGGGTCAGGACGCCGGCATCACTTGTTTTATCTCAACTCAGCATTTAGGGGGAACATTCATTCTGCAGCAGACCTCAGGCTCATTCAGAAAGACCCAAACATCAAGTACCAACTCTGCTACGTTCAACATCTTAAAAGTTAACTTTGGAAACGAAGGATCATACAAGTGTCTGTATCAGATAAAGGTTTCTCGTCGAGACTTCAGCTCCCCCTTAAGTGACTCTGTCAGACTCTCTGTTACTGGTAAGACAAATTTATGAATAAATAGAATAATACAGCACAACAAATAACAGAAAAACAATTACAATTACAGACCCATTTGACAAGGTAAGTTTCTTGAAGCAGTAATATTTAATTTTCAATTAAGTTTACAATAGAATTGCGGGTTCGGGCGAGTAAGTTATTAATAACTTGCAGAAATTGCATGTAATAATCCACCTTCCATTTTCTCGTCCACCCTTCTGATGAGTTATATTCACAAAAGAAACATGTCATTTCATCAGATGGATCACTTCATTCAAATTGAGGATTTTGTTTGAGGATTTATTACATTTTTTTAGGGTGATGAAACCCTAAATGTCAACATAACATTTGTTTGTTGACATTTAGGGCACATTTAAGTAATGAGTAAAAAACATCTTTGTATAATAACGGGTCATCACGCCACACCGTATTTGTACATTTTCCATTACAAATTTTTTTTCTGGATAGAATATTTATATATTATAATACTAAATATTGAAAAAATATTTAGTGCATCAGTATATCTTTGCTGTGTGTGCGGAAGCCATCTTGATCTGATATTTGCTGATTTACAAATCTAGTGAATTATATATTTTCATGTTTGTCCCTTTTGTACTCAGTGCCGCTGCAGCAGCCCAGCATCTCCCTGACGTCTCCTAACGGAGGGCTGGTCTGGGGCCCCGAGGGTGCCGAGGTCACCAGGGGTTACAGCTTTGTCTTCACCTGCTCCATTTCCTCCCATTATCCCGGAGGTGTTTTCTCCCTCATCTCCTCTGGCTCCGGCCTCAACAACACTAAGCCAGCAGTCAACCGCTCGGCCTCCTTTGACTTCCCTGTGGCAGAGTATGAGCACCTGGGGAGCTACAGCTGTGTGTATGAAGTCACACTGTCTGCACGGAGATTCAATTCCACCATGACAGCCACGATTACTGTCATCATCAAAAGTAAGTAGAGTGTATTTAAACTAAGCGCTGCTATAGTTCAGGGACAATAGCTGAGTGATGGTGGCCACTATTTACTATGTGTAGGTGAATCAGCAACACAACCATTTATTAACGGTTTCAGTAAAACTTTCCAATAAAACCGCAGCAGATAGAGAAACAATGAGCTGCATGGCTTGTGCATGTACCAACCATATAACATAATGACATTTCATGTCAATTAAGATTGGCCTCCAGATAAAACAAGTCACATATCGTTAAGCATGCAGTAGTGCTGCAGCAGTGGTAACCATTGGACTATTGCCCTCTATTCATCCCCCCAAAAGAAAATTGGTGCAAAAAAAGACAGAGTGATGTGTCCATTACTGTTTTTATCCAAGCACCCAGGAAGAGCGCCGGGCTTTGAAGAAAACTATTTTCCATAGTGGCCAAAATATGGAATTACAATTTCCGGGTCCATCACGTGATGCCATGGGGCTCAAAAAGACTTCTTCCCATAGACTTCAATTAGAAAAGACACGTATGTAACTCGTGGTTACAAAAAAAAAAAAAAAAGTAAATCAATGCAGGCCCATTAGGCCTGCCTGGTGGTGTAATGGCTAACACTCTTGACTCACTGCGTGGGTTCGATTCCCGGGCTGGACGGCCCTTCTATGTGGAGTTTGCAGGTCCTCTCCGGGTTCTCCGGCTTCCTCCTACAGTCTAAAGACCTGCAGCTTAGATTATTGATAAGCAGGATAAGCAGTTAAATGTAATGGATGGATGGAACTCCCCATTGGGAACACATGAATAGCTCTTATTTAAATCAGGAGGTCATAGAAGTTGTAAAATTAACTTTCAGCTGAATCCAGAGTAATTTTCCTTCCTCCGTTTATGTGAATGAGCCTGAGAACGAGGCTGGACCAATAGCTTGGAGGCGGGGTTTAAGAAATAGCTAGTGCGCTTGCTCTGTGGGCCTGTGGATGTGAAAGATCGTTGGAAGATCTGGTACATTTGCAGCATGCATGGAGTGACGATGCAACTTTAGGTTCATTTATTTAGTGATGTTCCTTGTCCTTTCAAGAAGAGTTGGTGTGACGGGGACAGATAAGGGAAGTGGGAGGAGACACATCAGCGAGCAGTGAAGGTCTGACAGACAAGTAGGAGAACAAGGAAATGTGGGCTGAGAAGGGACATGGAGAGAGAAGACCATATAATGATAACATGAGGAGCTGTAATGTTATCATTGCAATCATCACCACCATCACAATTAGTAACAATGTACTTAAAACAACTAAAATATTTTAACCAATATATACACATTTTAAGTCATTGAGCTCCACTTTATTATAT